ACAAGAAAGCTGATGAGGGAATCTTTCTGGGCTATTCTCAAACCGCCAAATCTTACAGAGTATACATCAAGAGGACCAGAATAGTTATTTAAAGCATCAATGTGTCCTTTGATGACTATACTCCAATGACTTCTGGACAAAACAGTTCAGAACTTGGCCCTCAAAGAAGAGCATCTGATTCATCATTTAGCAAACCCAATGAATTAGAGTTAGCTCAATTATTTGAAGACATCTTCAATGAAGAAGTAATCTCTGGACATAAGACCAATGCATAATCAATCTCCAGAGTCAATGATGAACATGCAGACTCCAGTAGTAATGGTATATCTCTCACAGAAGCTCATGTTACTTCACCATCTACTTCTCCTGTGTCTTCAGATCATGATCAAGAACCAGAGTTTAACCCTAGAGATGATCTCGTTGAGGGGGAGCAAGCAGTTCCATCAGTCGATGAAGAACTGCATCATGTTGCTTCAGAACCTCAATCAAGCACCAAGTGGACGAAGAATCACCCACATCACCAAATCATTGGTGATCCAACCTCTGGTGTCAAGACGAGATCCGCTACTACAAATGAATGCCTATATGCAAACTTCTTGAGCATGATTGAATCGAAGAAGATTTCTGAAATCCTACAAGATCCAAACTGGATAAACGCAATGCAAGAAGAATTAMTTCAGTTTGAACAAAACAAAGTATGGTCTCTTATGCCTCTTYCCAAAGGAAAAACGGCAATAGGAACCAAATGGGTCTTCAGAAACAAGAAAGACGAAGATGGCATTGTGATAAGGAACAAAGGGTGTTTTTGGTAGCCAGATGACGAGACATAACTAACATGATATAACAAGATTGTTGTTCAACGTTCCATAAGTTATGACTGATAAACGACCAATTTACCTTTAATGAGTTGTTTATATCTTAATTAATCGGTATAACTTATTAAATTATAATATACTAAATATTTTTATAACAAAATATATCATCAGAAAAATTTCGTCAAAACGATTAAAATGACGCCAAAATATAGAAAACGTATAAAAATAATATTCTCGGGACAGTAAAGTGATAATTTAGAGAGGATAAACAACAATAAATAAATTTTAAAAAGTGGATAAAATGTAAATAGGGAGGGATATTTGATGTTTTAGAAAAAGAGTTAGATTTCATTTGAAAGTATATTGGTAAATATAGGTTTGTTTCACTTTGCTTCATGGTAGGTGCAACACACCTATTCCACTTTGTTCATTTTATTCCTCATAAAAGTAATGTCAAACGTCAAATAGTGATCCATATTTTGTTATGTTTTGTCACGTCCAGTGTACCAAACACATCCTAATAGTCATTTTAAAGGTTTCTATAAAAAAAAGGGTTATATGTGGTAATATATGGTGTAGCATGGGATAAAATCACTTGTCTTCAAACGTTATGTCTCATTCCTGTTCACCAATCAACTTTCAACACATTAATAATTATTATTTTTTTGATTAACCTGAATATCCAACTCGGTATGCGAGCCGATTAATTCCAGGACGACCACCTGCTTTGCAGATAGGCCGGAGTCACCGTATTTGAACCTCTGTGGCCATAAGGGGATTTTTATTTCTCCTTGGATTTGAACCTGGACCTACCGGTACTTTTAATAATTTATTGAAAAGGAAAATGAATATACATCAAATAAGTAACGATGTGTTACGAAAAGGAAATAACATGAAGCTTAGGTATATCATGTAATAGTGTAGAGTCTGAAAAAACATGAAGTGATCTTTTGATTGAATTGTGGTGTAACCTTATACAATCTCTAGAAAATAAAACACACAAAGTCTATGTAATTTATTAATATTCCTTTCATTTCCTTTAAATGAGTAACAATTTAATTAACATTCTTGAGCTTTTATTCAACTTTCTGAACCATTCAAAACCTAACCAGGCATGGTGATCCGACGTCTTTATGCCAATTCAATCGAACCAGGACCCTTGCTCGGGACCTCGATATCGTTATAATTCGAGAACCTTGAGTTCTCAAGCCTTTCCCCTTGACCCCAAATTGCATACGCCTCTTCACCATGAGCGGCTTCATCTCCGACTTCCATATCCTCATCGGACATCCGCAATGGCACGATTAGTTGCACGAATAAACACACTAAGCTTGTCATCACGATGTTAAGAACGATGACGAATAAAATCCCAGTTATTTGAACACCCATCTGTCTGAATCCGTGACTGACGCTTTGCGAGGTCCCACGGTGCAACCCTACAAATAAACCCATGTATTTTCCAGGACTTCCGTAGAACAATTCACACAAATGTGGCTCGGAAAAGAGGCCGGTGAGGAGGCCTCCTAGGGTTCCGGCTATTGCGTGCGTGTGTAGCACGGCCATCGTGTCGTCAACTTTCTGAAGGAGCTTCGATTTTTTGTGCACCACCATCATGGTGAACCATGGGATCGACCCCGAGAAAAGTCCCATGAGTATTGCTGAGTACCCTTGCACTACGCCTGGAAAGCAAAATTAACGAGTCAACCTAAAACAAGGAATCTTGAAATCACAACAAAGTGAGTTTTTTAGATCGTATTTGCTTCATAATATATAGAGTATTTAATATGACTTTAAATCCATAGGACTAAAAATGGACATCTTCGAAAAAAAAAGCTATAATAAATTGGCCAACCTAATACATTTTTTACATGCCATGCATCTTAATTTTCTAAAGTGTAATACAAACAGGTTATTAGGTCACAATATATACAATTTTTTTCCTATAAACTCTAACTAGTGGAAGTCGAACAAGTTTGGAAAAACCAATTCTGTTAGTAACATCATATATATATATATATATATATATATATATATATATATATAATATTATTCTTTATGTAAACTGTTGACGAATGTTTTTGGGAAGTACAAGTACCTGCCGCTGGGGTGATGCAAACTAGACCCGTGATCATGCCTTGAACGGCACCGATCACTGAAGCTTTCTTGAAGAAAACTACGTCAAGAATAAGCCAGGTCAAGAGGCTGGTGGCAGCACAAACGTGGGTGTTCAAGACGGCTAAGGAAGCATCTACGCTAGCGGCATAAGGGTCACCCCCATTGAACCCGGTCCAGCCCATCCATAGGAGGCCTGCACCGGCTAACATAAGTATAATGTTATTTGGAGGAAATCTTTCCCTATCCTTCGTCAATCTTGGACCAACCTGAGCCAAAGCAAATGTTTTTGTATTACCAAAGTATAAATGTCAAACAAAAATGTGTTTCTCTTAAAAGGGTCTTTGAGGAGAGACCTATGCATATTTAATTAACAAAAGTAGTCAAAAGTCTAAGCAAATATCGTCCCTCCAAAATTTAAGACGCTATATTGTCCCAGGATGTCGAGTCTCAAAAGTGGTACACCTTTGATACCATTTAAAAATCTGAAGCTCCTCATTAGTTTACTCTTCAAAAGAGACGTCGAGGAGAGAAGAAAGGTTCCAACATATATTGATAAGATATGGTTCAAGTCTAGCCGACGTAAGACTCCTATCACGTACCCAATAAGCAGCAGTGAAACCGGCAACTCCTGAAGAAAGATGGATCACATAACCACCCGAATAGTCAATTATGCCCATTTTAGTTAACCAACCATCCGTAGACCAAATCGTGAATGCGCCAACTGTGTACGAAAAGGTTAGCCAAAGCGGAACGAACAACATCCACGCGTAAAAGTTCATCCGTCCCAAAACCGCTCCAGCAATCAAAATCAAAGTAATGGCGGCAAAAACAAATTGAAAAAAGACCATGGTGGCGTTCGGAAACAATCCCAGAAACGCCGGCTCAAGAAGGAACTTTTGCTCAAGGGCGACATCGATCTTTCCCCATATAGGGACAAGTTGATCCCCAAATGAAAGTTGATAACCCCAGCAAACCCAACAAACGAGAACCATAGCGAAAGCATAGAGCGCCATAAACGCAGAGTTCACGGCCCACTTTTTCTTGACGGCTCCACCGTACAAGATGATCAGTCCGGGGACACTTTGAAGCCCGACAAGCGTGGCAGCCATCAACTGCCATGCATTGTCGGCCTTGTTCATCCATTTTGGACTGGAATCAGTTGGCAACAAATTGGGAGGGAAGGCAAAGGGGGTGGTGATATTGAAGGGGGAGGGGGGTGAAAAACTCATATCCGCTTTTAATTTGTGTATTGAAGCCAAATGGTGAATGGTGTGTTCAATGCGATGAAAGGATGGAAGATATATATACAACAATGTCGAACGGGTGTTGATGGTTGATTCTCACGACAAGCTGTTAATTTCTATGTGGGTATCACTTAGTATTTTATATCATTTCTTAATTAAAAAATGTGGGAGATTCAACAGGAGTTGGATCTTAAAACAAATTTTCGAAATTAGCATTTCAACAAAAACTTTAACAGCTGAATATTTTGTTAATGTATACGAGTCAAGTAGTATATTTCATTGAAATGTAGGATCTAGCAAAGCAACTACTGATGTATCTTTATAAATGTTGCTTAAATATTACATTTCATTGAAATGTATTTATGGTATTTTCTATTTTCTCTCTCGCAATTGTTGGAGTGTTGGAATTTTCATTGCAATATTATATGGCTAATAGCTATGTTTTTTATACAAACACACATTACAATAAAGTATTACCTAGTCCGGTTTGGTTAGGTGAAATGTTTTTAAGGAATTTGGATTTCATAAAAGGATTTGGAATCTTTGGAGTGGGATGGAATTCCATTTTCTATAAATAATTTATAAAACAAACAATTAAATTACCTTTTTATTGATGAAATTATTAGAAAAAATATGTTTTTTTAACATACTTTAAAACATTAATTATTATATAGAAATCCTACGAAATCCTGTGATATCCCAACCATCGGTGTGACATTTCAAAATCCTATGTTTGAGGGATTTCAAATAAATTCTAACGGTCTGTATGGTTTGCATTATTGTTTTTGAAGGATTTGAATCTTATAAAAGGATTTGGATTTGAATGAATTTGAAATCATTAGTGGGTATGGTTTGTAGGATTTGAGGTTTGTAGGATTTGAGATAGAATTGGATTTCATTATTTATAAATAATTTATAAACAATTACATTTTTGTTAATGGATTACTACAAAATAAATGTTTTTAACATTTTTTAAAATCTTATTTCATATAAATCTATGAAATCATGTGAAAACCAAAACACTTTCTAAGGATTTCAAAATCCTATATTTTTAGAATTTCAATCAAATCTTATGATTTCAAATCCGGACAATTCAACAAACCAAACATGAGATTATAATATATTTGAAATCCAAACCCCCCGGAAATCTATTCCATTTCTGCAAACCAAAGGAGACCTAAGATTTTAATTTCGAACAATCTTGCAAACCAAACATGAAATTTGAATGGATTTAAAATCGAAATCCCTCCAAATCCATTGCATTCATTCAAACCAAACGGATTCTTAGGATTGTTTTTGAGGAATTTGGATTTTATGAATGAATTTGAAATTATGTGTTTGGTTTGTAGGATTTGATTTCTTATTTGTACAAAAAATATAAAGATAATTAAATTACATTTTTAATCGATTATAACAAAGCAAATATTTTTAACATTTTTTAAAACCTTATTTCATACAATCCTATGAAATCACGTGAAATCCCGAGCACCTTCTAAGAATTTCAAAATCTTATGTTTGTAGGGTTTCAATTAAATCTTATGAATTCAAATCCGGACAGTCCAGCGGATCAAACATAAAATTTGAATGAAATGGAAATCCAAATCTCACAAATTCATTCCATCCCTACAAACTAAATAGAAACTTTGTAAACACCAAGTTTAGTCATTTTGGCGAGCTTTTTTTGTTAATTTTTTGCAAATTAGTGGTTTTTTACGTTTTGTCTTGGAAAAATGAAATACCAAAATTGTCCTTGTATGATGTATATCTAGAAACTTGTATTGTTGTCGATTTGTGATCAATTATCATTCAAGCATACGTTAAACGAAAACTTCCAACCAACTATCTAATGATTTGTTAGTTCTGGTAAAACGGTGAGTTAAAGAAATCTATCAATCCAAATAAAAGAAATATAATGCTATATGCTACCACGTTGTTAATTAATCATAATAATAATAATAATAAAACAAATGTACTTATAATTCATTTCTTATATTAGAGAGCATAATTAATTTAAGGAAAAATGTTCATTTTTAATACTTAATGATTATAGGTGGAACTTGATGTGTGTTTTATATTGACTCTAAAACTTTATTACACATTTTTTTTTAACTATAAAATTTATACTTATTTTTTGATGATTTTTGACATGTGATTTGTCAAAAATAACACTTTTCATTCCTATAGTATTGAAATCAAAATGGTCATCGTAGTTTGTAAAAACGTCTTCATTTAGTCCTATCTTTGACAATCGTTAAAAAACTTCGTTAAATGACGGGTATTTTAGTCTTTTTTTTCAATCTTTTTGTCAGTTACCCAATCAAAAACCAAAGAGACCAAATCATAAAATCAGTTTTGATTGGTGTAAAAATACAAAAAAAATCGATAAAAGGACAAAATTGCTCCTCATTTAACGGATTTTTTTAACAGCCGTTAGAGAGAGAGGCCAGATTCCCATGTTTTTGCGAACCACGATGACTATCTTGTAAATAAACTGGAGGGATGAAAAATGTTATTTTCGACGAACCACAAAAACCAAATTTATTGTTTAGTCTATATTTCTTAAAATAGGAACATAATGAAATACATTTTTTAATACTAGAAGGGTCAATGAAGCGACATAAATTTTTATCTTAATGTTTAGTTTTTATTTTGTCTCTATCGTTATAATACGAATTTATGTGGTTTTGAGAAAATGATAATTTTTTATTTTTGAATTAAATATAAATATGAAGATATCATAAAGAATTGAAAAAAAAGATATCCATATTAGTACTAAACTAACTATTTAATTTTGTGTGTGTGTATTTCTTTAATTCATTTTTTTATTTTTGGTTTAATAATATAATTTTTTATAAATATAATAATTAATTATTTTATTAGAACTTAATGATTATTTTAATTATATTTTAGATTTTTTATATTTAAAATGAGATGTTTATCCTCTAGATTGTGTTTATCTGCAGTTAGTTACACAAATTCAAATATGAAGCTTTAATAAGTTATACTTACGCATAATTACTTGTAATCTTGAATTTTAACTAATATACATCAAACTTCATGCATAAAAAATGGTTTTCAAAAGTTTTTATCAAATATTTTATAATATAATATAAGTAATTAGTTATTCTAAATTTAATAGTATATTAATTTAATGGACGTAATATACACCATCATGAGTTAAAGACTATTGGATATTTCGCTGTGGGGTTTTGGAAGAATGCAATCTGTCTAATGCCATCGATGATGCCGAGGTACAAGTCCTTGTTGCACCAACATAGTATCCCAACACCAACAACAAAAATAGAAATACAAAATGTTTGTGTCTGGAATCAAATTTGCTATTAGTTAATGGAAGAAACAAATGCTTATATCAATGGTGAAGGATCGTAAGCATCCTTTCTATCTATGTTCATTTATGAATTATGTTTTAGAAGGAAATTGATCTGGTGCATCCTTATTAGGATTGACATTCAAATGGGATTGATTTAATGATGATCTCTTCTTATGCTCCTCACCATAACTTACTTCTCAACGAAACCCAATTTTGATGACAATTTGGACCCGTTTATTTGAAAATGGTTGATTTACTTATTTTCTATATATTTGAACTACATATTTGCCAATTTTCACCATTTTAATAGAAAATAACTAAATAGTTTTATTCAAAAAGATATACTATCATTTTAAATATATAGTTTTTGTAATGATGTTTAATATATAATTTCGGACAAAAATAAGTGTTTTAGACAATGTAACACCTTAAACTTGAGCTTAAAAATACAAGAAGAGGGATCAATGATTATAACAAAATCAGGTTTAAAAGGATGCTAAAACGTTGAAGTGTTATAGGACTGAAGTTTATAAACCAAACAACTATGAGTTGTACATAATAGTGTTATAATAAGTTTAATAAATGATTTTAGACGTTTTAACAAGTTTAGAACATTTTGAAATCAAATATCTCATTAACGTTGTTATATCATATTACTTAAAAAGTGTCTTAGAATAACAACTGTGCTATGAAAAAGATGATGTATGTTGGACAATTATCCAAACTGTCATATAAAAAATAACTACAACATTTTATTGTATTGAACAAGTTTAGAAACAGAGATGTTGGCAAAAATATTGGTGCTTGAAGTTCCAAAATGAAGTAAAAAACCAAGGTAGAATTTGGACATCAAACTCATGTTTAATTGTCGAATCAATAGGATGTATTGTTGTAAAATGCTTTGACACCTAAATATGGTTGAGGATGATTGGTTTTAGTTTCTATGCTGTTATGATTAGTGAACGTATGCCTAATTAAAGACATGCAGAGTTATTTGAATGTTGTTTTCAGATGTGTTGGTTAATGTGTTGAATTGCATTTGTAGTTTTCAGATGTGTTGGTTAATGTGTTAAATTGCATGTTACAAATGTTAGATGTAAAAAAAAAAAAAAAGTATTTTATGTTGTAAGTGACTTTGCACGCTACTTGAAAAGTCCCATAGGTGATGTTGCCATGACAAAGGCGTAAGGTAAGGAAGCACAAATGCCAAATGATGCGAGCTCGATGAGACAGACAACTTGCCCGAAATTGTGTAAAAGCCAGTGCAGTGATCAAGGTAAGACGCAACGTATATACTCGTGTAGGGTGTGATGATGCTTATATAGATGCGTATTAACTACTGAGTGAAGATAATGCATGGAAGTGTAGTTCCATAATCGATATAATTACATACAAATAGAATTAGACCTAATAACCTAAATTGTAACCTATTTCAATGATTTCACAATACATTCCAATTCAAATTTGGCATTGCGTAAATAAACACAACCCTTGGCGTATATCCAAACCAATCTTCCTCTCACATACTCTACCAATGATGTGTCATCAGATTGCCAATTACCCCAACCATCTAATTATTATATTGTTTATTCTCAAAACAGTTAGATTTAAGACAAATATTTGGGTTCTTAATTGTAATTGATTGATAAGCTGA